GCTAGCCACATCTAGCCACAGCTAGCCACAGGTAGCTCCAGTAGCTAGCCACAGCTAGCTACCGCAGCTAGCCTCAGCTAGCTGCAGCTAGCCACAGCTAGCCACAGCTAGCCACAGCTAGCTACAGCTAGCCATAGCTAGGTGCAGTAGCTAGCCACATCTAGCCACAGCTAGCTGCAGGTAGCCACGGCAAGCCCCAGTAGCTAGCCACAGCTAGCTGCAGCTAGCTACATCTGACTGCAATAGCCACAGCTAGCCACAGCCAGCTAGCCACAGCCAGCTAGCCACAGCCAGCTAGCCACAGCCAGCTAGCCACAGCCAGCTAGCTACAGCCAGCATGGACCAGGCAAATTAGTTAATAATTTACTTTTATTTATTTATTTATTATTTATTTATTTTATTTATTTATTTATTTATTTATTTATTTATTTATTTTTTATTCATTATTTTGGCCCAGGCTGTACAAGAGCAAATCATGGCGAAGATCAGCAGCGTCAACGAGCAGAGCCAAGACGTGATGCAGCAGGTGAGCTGCTGCTGTTGCTGCTGCTGCTGCTGCTGTTGCTGCTGCTGCTGCTGCTGTTGTTGCTGCTGCTGCTACTGGTGCAGTTGTCGCTGCTGTTGGTGCTCCTGCTGCCCTGCTGCTGCTGCTGCCGTGCCTCCCTCTTGGCTGCTTCCGTTGCTGCTGCTGGCTTGGCTTCAGCGCTAGCTGCTGCTTCTGCTGCTGCTGTTGCTGCTGCTGCTGCTGCTGCTGCAGATTAAGAAGACGATGGAGCGCGAGCTTGCGCGTCGCACGTAGCAGCACTTTGGCTGATTTAATAAATTTTTTATTTTTAAATTAAAAAATAAATTAATTTATTAAATCCATTTGCAAATCAGCTCGCTCCTGTCAGCTGCTGCAGCAGCAGCAGCTGCTGCTGCTGCTGCTCCTGCAGCTGCTGCTCCTGTAGCTGCTGCTGCAGCTGCTAGTGCTGCTGTTGCAGCTGCTGCTGCTGCTGCTCCTGCAGCTGCTGCTCCTGTAACTGCTGCAGCAGCTGCTAGTGCTGCTGTTGCAGCTGCTGCTGCTGTTGCAGCTGCTACTGCTTCTGCTGCAGCTGCTACTGCTTCTGCTTTAGCTGCAACTGCTGCAACTGGTGCTGCTGTTGCTGCAGCGGCTACTACTGCTGCTGCTGCAGCAACTGCTGCTGCAGCAGCTTTCACTTCTGCTGCATTCAAAAATTAAGTTTCCTTTTTGCTGTCGGCTGAGACATTTTTTATTTATTTATAAAAATAAATAAATTAATTTAAATTAATTTAAATTAATTTAAATTAATTGCAGAAGAAATCCAAGAAGACTTCCGCTGAAACAGCGCCCCGCGCTCAGCCTTTTGCTTCTTTATTTATTTTGAATTAATTTTTAAATTAAAATTTTAGTTTTATTTATTTATTTATTTGTTTATCTATTGTTCCATTATTAGTTTGAAATTCGAATTAAAAATAATTCCTGATGAGCATTAAGGGGAAATCTGCAGCAGCTGCAGCAGCAGCAGCAGCTGCAGCAGCAGCAGCAGCTGCAGCAGCAGCTGCAGCAGCGGCATCTGTACAAATTAAATTAATCTTCCCCAGCTGCAGCTGCAGACAGCTCCGAAGTCACGAGAAACAGCAGCAGCAGCAGAGAGCTCACAGGCAGCAGCAGCAGCGGCTGTTGATGCTGCTGCCTCTCGTTGCTGCTAGCAGCAGCAACACAGCAGCATAAGCAGCTGCTGCTGCTGTTGCTGCTGCTGCTAGCAGCAGCAACAACAGCAGCAGCAGCTGCTTATGCTGCTGCCCAAATGCAGCGCACCCAGGCCCTGAAGACACTGTTATCATTATTATTTATTATTTATTATTATTTATTATTATTATTAAATTTATTTTTATTAAATTTATTATTATTGCCATTATTATTATTTCCATTGTTGCTGCTGCTGCTTTTATAATTACTATTGTTGAGCAGCTAAAATTCGGAATTGGAAGTTAAGTCCTTTCCAACGAGAAAAAAGAAACAGCAGCAGCTGCTGCTGCTGCACGAGCTGCAGCTGCTGCTGCTGCACGAGCTGCAGCTGCAGCAGCTGCTGCAGCTACTGCAGCTGCAGTACGGGCTGGTGCTGCTGCGGCAGCAGCAGCAGCAGCAGCTGCTGCTGCTGCTGCTGCACGGCCTAGCCAAAGTATGAAGGGAGGCACTTTCTTATAGGCTGCAAATTCGGGTTTGAGTCCAGAGGGGGGTCTCTTATTCTGCAGCAGCAGCAGCACAAACAGCAGCAGCAGCACAAACAGCAGCAGCAGCACAAGTAGCAGCAGCAGTTCAAGAAGCAGCTCCCTAGGCAGCAGCAGCACACGCAGCAGCAACAGCAGCACCGACGGCACCGCGAAAGCGCAAACAGCGGCAGCAGCACACAGCAGCAGCAAAGCCTCACAAACAGCAGCAGCAGCAGCAGCAGCCGCAGCAGCAGCCGCAGCAGCAACAGCCGCAGCAGCAGCAGCCGCAGCAGCAGCCGCAGCAGCAACAGCCGCAGCAGCAGCAGCCGCAGCAGCAGCCGCAGCAGCCGCAGCAGCAGCAGCAGCCGCAGCAGCCGCAGCAGCAGCCGCAGCAGCAGCAGCAGCAGCAGCAGACCTGAGCTTGTATCCTGGAGTTTGGTACTTGAACTTCTTCAGGTCGTGTCTGGAGACATAAGTAATGGAATACTTTTTGCGGAATTGTTTTGCTGTCTGAGAATTCAAAAAAGAAAAGATTTAATTTTTTAAATAAATAATTTAAAAGAAATCTTTTATTTGCATTTAAAGATGAAGCAGCAAATAAGAAGCAGCAGGTCACTGACTAACCAGCTGCAGCAGCAACAGCCGCAGCAGCAGCAGCAGCAGCAGCAGCGCCTGCAACAACAGCCGCTGCAGCAACCGCAGCAAGAGCAGCAGCAACAGCAGCAGCAACAGCGACAGCAGCAACGACAGCAACAGCAGCAACAGCAGCACGGCATAATAAAAACGCGAAGAAGAAAAGGAGGCAGCAGCAGCTGCTGCAGCAGCTGCAGCAGCTGCAGCTGCTGCAGCAGCAGCTGCTGCTGCAGCTCCATCCTTTCGACGAATTCATTTAATTCATTTAAATAAATAAATAAATAAATAAATAAATAAATAAATAAATAAATAAATAAATGAATACATAAATAATATTTAATTTATTTATTTCCTTTTTGCTTCTCAGCGCACCAAATTAAACTTCACCCCATTCCGCCCCTTCCGCAGCCGCTCCCAGCCGAAGCTGCAGCAGCAACAGGCAGCAGCAGCAGCAGCAGCAGCAGCTAATGAGCAGCAAATAATAAACAAATTATAAATTTAAATTTAAATTATAAATAATAAACAAATAGTACATAGATCATCCATTATGATCGGCAGCAGCAGCAGCAGCAGCAGCAGCAGCAGCGGACCCAGCAGCCGCAGCGCCCTCGTAGCAGCTGGAGCAGCAGTGGCAGCAGCCGCGTCAGCAGCAGCAGCAACAACAGCAGCAGCAGCGTCAGCAGCAGCAGCAGACTGAGCAGCAGCAGACTGAGCAGCAGACTGAGCAGCAGCAGCATCAGCAGCAGCATCAGGAGCAGCATCAGCATCAGCATCATCAGCAGCATCAGCATCATCAGCAGCAGCATCAGCAGCATCGGCAGCAGCAGCAGCAGCAGCAGCATCAGCAGCAGCAGCAGCAGCAGCTCACCGCGAAAGGCGAAACCTGGTGAGGACTTTGGAGTGGTTTTTGGGCTTCAGCTGCTTCCTCAAAAAGTAAGACACGCGAGCTCGGAAGCGCACGCGCATCCAGTTGATCCGCGTGCGGTAAAACCGCACTTTGCTGCTGCTGCTGCTGCTGCTGCTGCTGCTGCTGCTGCTGCTGCTGCTGCTGTGGCTGGAGAGGACGTCGCGGCCGCCGAGGCAGCAGCTGCTGCTGCTGCTGCTGCTGCGGCTCCAGCTGCTCGAGGCGGTCTCACGGCCGGTGGGTCTGCTGTTGCGGCTGCTGCTGCTGCTGCTGCTGCTCGACAGCACGTCACGGCCAAGGAGCCGACTGCTGCTGCTGCTGCTGCTGCTGCTGCAGCAAAGCGCAAAGAAAGGCTCTCTGGAAGGCCCTGCAGCAGCAGCAGCAGCTGCGAACGGAGGGGGAAGTGGCCTAAAACCCGAGCAGCATTTCTGTGCTGGTGCTGCTCTTGCTGCAGCAAGTGCAGCTGCCAGTCCAACAGGTGCTGCTGCTGCTGCTGCTGCTGTTGCTGCTGTTGCTGCTGCTGCTGCTGCCCCAGGCAGACACCACGAGACTGGGGAAATCGCCCCTCGCGCAGATATGAGGCAGCAGAGACGCCGAGTGGCAGCCATCACAGCTGCTGCTGCAGCTGCTGCTGCAGCTGCTGCTGCAGCTGCTGCTGCAGCTCAAGCTGCTGTTGCTACTGCTGCCGCTGCTGCTGCTGCGACTATGGCTGCTAATCAACTCGCTGTCCAAACCCCTTCTCCAGCTGCTGCTGCCCTTCCGGTCCCTACTGGGGGTCACCCGTCCGGGTGTGCAGCAGCAGCAGCAGCAGCAGCAGCAGCAGCAGGGGTGAGCGTCTGCTGCAGCAGCTGCTGCTCTGTTGGCCTGCAGTGCTGCTGCAGTTATTCTCTTGCCTTGTGGGAAGAGCTAGCTGGGCCCGCTTTCCCCGGCTTTCCCCGCTGCTGCTGCTGTGCTCTGCGTTTCGTGCTGCTTCCGGAAAGCAGCAGCAGCAGGCAGCTTCCCGCTTCACATGTTGGCCTTTGCGGGAAAACAAATTCGAATTTGCCCGAAAAAGAGCAGCAAAAGGGGCTTTAAAGAGCTGTTCGCAGCCACACAGCAGCAGCAGCAGCAGCAGCAGCAGCAGGAAGCATGCAGCGGTTGGGGCTGCCAGCTGCGCTTCGCCGCCTCCCCGGCCCTTTTTGGACGCGGAAAAAGAAGGAAAAGAAATAAATGAAATAAATTGAAATAAAAAGCTGCAGAAAAAGGTATTGGGTTGCTGAAGGGGTGCTGGAGAGCGGCGGGGGCCGCAGGCAGTGCAGGAAGTTGCATGGTGTCAGTGGTTTCTTGCTGCGCATTTTCTCCGGTTTTCTCCCGTTTCTTTCGATTTTCTTTCGACTTTCTTTCTTTTTTCTCTCCTTTTGCTTTTCTTTTTCATTTAAGTTTGTCTTTTGATCCATTTTAGCCGAAATATTTCTCATTTCCGCGCCGGACTGCGCAGCAGCTCCCCCGTTCCGCCACGGCTCGCCTCGCCGCGCGTCCAGCTCCACGCTTTAGGGTTTAGGGTTTAGGGTTTAGGGTTTAGGGTTTAGGGTTTGCGCGAAAATGCCCAAGTTCTACTGCGAATATTGTGACATTTACCTCACCCATTCCTCCCCCGCTGGCCGCCGCCAGCACGCCAGCGGCCGCCGCCACATAAACCAGAAAGTTGAATATTTCCAGAGTGAGACCATTGGTCCATTTTTGCATGCTTTTAAATGCTTTTAAAGGCATTTAAATGCATTTTAATGCATTTTTATGTTTTAAATGCTCTCAAATGCTTTTAAATGATTCTTTTCCCCATTTTAAAACCTCTTTCCCTTCTTTTCCCCTCTCTTTTGCTTCCTTTGACTTCCAGTGCCCCGAATTGCCCACAAACAGATTGCTGCAGCAGGCAGGGGCCTTTGCTGCACCCCAGGGGGCCCCCCTTTGGGGCCCCCTGGGGGCCCCCTGAGGGCCCCGTGGGGGCCCCCTGAGGGCCCCCTGGGGGGCCCCTGGGGGGGCCCTGGGGGCCCCAGGGGGCCCTACTGTCGCCTGTGGGGTATCCATTGCTTCTTTTGGGAGTTTTATGTCCTTGAGGGTGCAACAGAAGCACTGCTGCTGCTGCAGCAGCAGCAGCTGCTGCTGCTGCTGCTGCTGCTGCTTCAAGGGAAGGCTTTGTGGTTTGCTGCTGCGCGTTCAGACCTGCTGCGGGAAAGCACCTTCCAGGCGCCGGCCTTCATAGACCAAGCGGTGGCCATGCGGGCCAGTAAGTCCTGCTGCTGCTGCTGCTGCTGCTGCTGCTGCTGCTGCTGCTGCTGCTGCTGCTGCTGTTGGCTGTTGGTCTCGTGGACGATGCGCCTCGTGCTGCAGCGCGAGGCGGCTCGTCTGCAGCAGCTTCCCAGCCCCTGCTGCTGCTGCAGCCGAGGCCTAGGGTTTAGGGTTTAGGGTTTAGGGTTTAGGGTTTAGGGTTTGCGCGCAGTTCAAATCGTGGCCAACACCCCCCCAGGGGAAGTCGTCTCCACCCACATGGGCAATTGTACCAAAATTAGAGAGCCCCGGGGGAGGCCCCGGGGGCCCCCCGGGGGCCCCCCGAGGCCGGGCTTTGAGGGGGACGACAGGGGGCCCCCCCGGTACCCTCCCCCGGGGGCCCCCCTGGGCCCCATGGGGCCCATGGGGGGCCCCCGCATGGGGGGCCCCCCCCCCAACATGCGCCCCCCAATGCCCATGCCCATGGGGGGCCCCCCAATGCCCATGGGCATGCCCATGGGGGGCCCCCCCCCTCCCTTCATGGGGGCCCGCTGAACCCTATCCCCGGGGGACCCCCTGGGGGGCCCCCCCGGGGGGCCCCCGGGGGGGCCCCAGGGTACTGAAGGGGGGCCCCTTTGGGTACTTTGTTGGGAACGAGTTTGGACTTGAAAGATTAAGAGCATGCAAAGTTAGAGAGGTTGTTTAGCAGTAATTCATTGCTGCTGCTGCTGCACTTGCTGCTGCTGCAGCTGCTGCAACTGCTGCT